ACCTTTAGACTACAGCTCTTTGTGAGTATAAAAATGTGAAATTGGGATTTGGTAAAAACAAATTAGTAATAATAATAATAATGATAATAACAATAATATCACTTAAATACTATATTCACTGTCTGCTAGTGCTGGGAATTCTTGGCATTTAAAACCGGCATTGGATTATTATTTCGGGTTCAATCGCAGAACTGAAAGAAAGCAGTGGAGTTTGCCAAAGTATTTGTGTTAGATGCAGCATTATTTGCAAACCCTGAATTGCCAATTTTTTTTAATTTAATTTTTTTTTAATAAAAAACGTCAGAGCGTTATAAAATATTCACACCTCTTTTGTTCCAAGTAATTTCACTCTACTTTAAACGTACAGTATCCATGAAGACGAGTATCTCAGTTCAGTGTTCGGGAATCCTTTTGGAATGAATGTTTTCCGGCCTACCAGATGACAAAGAAAATGCAATTAATAACGCGTTTTCAGCAAAGGAGCTGTGAGGGTTGGTCGTTTTGTCAGTTTGCAGCCCAAGTTGAATTTTCTGGTTTTCCTTTTTGTAGTGCTCATTTTAGATTGATCTTTAGAGGATGTGCATGTTAATACAGGCTCCTGCAGAAAGAGAAAACAGGAATTTAAAGAAATAACAATTTAAAGCAAACCTACGCTGTACCCAGGGCTGGATTTGCTCTCTCTGCTGCCCCAAGGCCAGGTTCCTCAATGTGCCCCCCTACCGCCAAGCCCCCTGCCAAGGAGAATGGCAGACCTGCAGGCTGCATACAAGTGATCTCGGCACCATCGCCGGGATCATTTGTACATAACAAGCGGTGGCTTCCCCACTGTACATTTAGCTCTGCTTGCCCAAAGCAGGGCTAAATGTAGAAAACAACTACCCGCCCGGTGCCCAGAACTGCATGTCCCGGGCATCGGGAGATAGGAATTCCACACCCCTGCTGCCCCTCTACTCCCTGCTGCCCCAAGGCTGGGCCTTGATTGGCCTTGTGGGAAATCCGGCCCTGGCTGTACCCATGGAGGGCAAAGTTTCGGTTGATAAAAAAAGTGCACATTTTGTTCTATAATTTCTTCATTGGGCAGTACAGTGGCTTAGTAAATTGGCTCCTGTCCAAATTGGCCCTAGTACGTGTGTGTGCAATAGGGACCTTAGATTGTAAGTTCCTTGAGGGCAGGGTCTGATGTGAATGTGTACCATGTAAAGCCCTGCGTAAATTGTTGGCGCTATATAAATACCGGTAAAGCCTCATTCACATGAGAAAAAGGCCGGCACGTACAGCTCAGTGCTGCGTGCGTGACCGTATCGGGCAGCTCCCGGGAAGGACAGGTGCTGCGTGTGATTAGTACGCAGCCCCTGACCTTCTCTATGGGAGTACGAGGCCATATGCCCCCCTACACTCACCTCAAGTGCAGGTCCGTACAAGTGCGGGTGTCCCGTCAAGGACGCAGACGGGATCCATCCTGTCAGGTAACGAGTACGGACACCCGCACCCGTACCGACATGCAGGGTGGGTGAGCGTAGGGCGGCGTACGGCCACGTACTCCCATAGAGAAGGACAGGGGCTGCGTACTAATCACACGCAGCATCTGTCCTTCCCGGGAGCTGCCCGATACGGTCGCGCACGTAGCACGGAGCTGACACACACAACCACCGACAATCTCACACACTCACAAACATTCTCACATACACTCTACAAAAATGTTTTTATTTTTTCATTCTTTTTAAGATCCACCCACTGGATCCGCGCCCACCAGCATATTTTGAATGACAGTGCTGCGCTAGGGGGAGGCTGAGGAGCCTCTGACCTAGCGCAGTGCAAGGCACATGGCGACCCACTGAACACGGGGCCGCGACCGCGAGAACTGGAGTGAATCCTCAGCCTGGGGTCCAGTGTTGGCTGCTGTGCTGTGATGGAGCTCCATCCATATGTGCATTGCCTGTACAGCTCCCTTGCGCACCCTGTAGAGATGCCGGCAGCCAGAATGTGACGTCACTCCGGTCCAGGCACCTTTACAGGGCATGCGAGGGAGCGGTAAGCAATGCACATATTGATGGAGCTCCCTCACGGCCATACCCCCAGCCCACCTCACCTCAAGCTGGCACTTGGAGCACACCAGCATATTCTGAATGGCTACTCTGCGCAAGAACTGACAGTGCTGCGATAGGGGGCGGCTGAGGAGCTTCTCACCTAGCGCAGTGCAAGGCACATGGCGACCCACTGAGCACGGGGCCGCAACCCACCAGTTGAGAACAATGGATTTTACGGAAAGCTGCAGATTTAATAATGCCGAAATTTACTTTTGAACTGACACTAACTCGTTAAAGGTTGTATTATCATTTATTGATTGGGTTTCATTTAACTTTATTGCCCAGTCCCCCAGTAGCCAATATACCCCAATCCTTCACTCCCCTGCTGGTCCATTCAGCTGTGGCGAGCCAAGATAATGCCCAATATGTTGCTCACTTTTCTTTCCCTCACACTGGTATTTGGTGATTAGCCCAGTTATATGACAGAGACAATGTTCAGTCCAGTGCAAGCTCTAAAAAGAGTGGAGTGTGAGCTCTAAAAAGTTGGAGCTTACAAAGCAGCGTTCTGTTTTTGCTCCCTTAGGCTGAATGAAGTATCAGGGGAACAAAGGAAGCTAATGTGCTTCTGGGGCATGGTATTAACATCGAACATGAGTAATAACATCCTGGGGGAAAAGAAAAACTCTGGTTTAGCCATAGAGACCATGTCCCAGCCACCATTTTTACTTTAAGGCGGTTAGAAAGTAGATACGTTCTACAAAACCTGTGAGGAAAGGACTAGATGATTATCAGTCATGCCGACACTCTGGCTTCATTGAAGCCAAACAAGTATGCAACTTCGGGCATCTTACTTTACTCTGACCTTCTCAATCCACACACTTCATCCAGGACACACAACATTTTCAACAACAGCAGCCCCAAATGCTCACTGATGACAGGTTCACTTGTATTAGGAAATCCATGCATGGTATTAAAAGAGGATTATATAAATTATACAGTTTATAATTAGCCAGCTCTGCCATTGCAGTGGTGCATCTGGCATTTGCATTTGTCCCTACTACAAAATCAAAGGAGAATCTTTAATCACCAGTTTAAATAAACTGATCCCATTTGGGGTTTCAAGTAGTATGAAAGAAGTCCTTTCTGATTTAGTTCAGTTCAAAACAAATTGTGCTTCAAATAACATCATCAAACAGAAACAGTCTTTTGATGGGTTTTAGAAGAGCCTATAGTACAGTTATTGATCTGTGAATGCCAGTACTTTTCGATGCTGATCTAGGAACCCCTAATGCAATTAAAGGATAAGCGCCCTTCTCAACACAAACCTCTACTGTACAATAAATTAAGTCAGTGTTTTTCTCCTTTGGTGCTTTCAGCATCCGTTAAAGCAACTCTGTCATTAGTAGAACAGAAATAAACAAATCCCTGCTGTAATGTAGAACAGGCAGAAACCTAGAGGTGTGTGCATGTACCTGCAGTAGTCTCAGAGGACCACTGTTACACCTGAATGCTGAGGCATTTTCACACGCAAAGCTTATACACTTCCTAGTGACGCTAAAGCTTGACTGCCGCCTCCCACCTAACAAAAATTTGTGTTGGCTAGTTAGACAGACCATCATAGTGATGGGCCAAAAAGTATGTATGGGAGTGGGAAGAGAACAGGGAATCTTTAACACTACTGGGAAGTGCTGAACCTTTGCCTATGTACTAGCTCCACACTTGGGGGCACAGTGCCGATGCTTAGAGGCTGCTGCAGGTGTGTCTGCCCTTTAAGGCTTCCTTCTCACCTACCAAGTAGGTGCAATCTGCTATTCCTGCAGCAGGAACTTGCGATTTCCTGCAGCAGGAATTCCAAAACTTCCAGTTACCAGCGGCAGCTGCCACCTGTTCAATATAATGATCAGGTGACAACGGCTGCATTTGAAAGCGGCAGAATGCTGGCACATCACGTGTAATCGTACGTGATATGATTACATGCGGTTAGGAATCGATGCATCCAGGGATAGTGATTGATTCGTAACCACATGTAAACGTATGTACGGCGGCATTCAAATGTGGCGGCTGTCACTCGATCATTAGCTTGAACGGGTGACAGCCACCGTTTGAAAATGGCCGATTTGGGATACCTGCTGCAGGAAATTGCAAGTTCCTGATGCAGGAATCCTTAAACATACCTAAACTATAGGTGTGAATGAGGGATAAACCTGACTGCACTTATTGATTTTTTTCTTTACGTGATATCATCTTAGATATCTCACTGGATCAGAGACAGGTGGATACAAGACTGGCAGGAAGAGCTGGGAGCAGGAAAAAACACCATCTAATTTATACATTATATATATATATATATATATATATATATATATATAGTTCCTGGTTTCCTATAAAGAATATTCAGCCTAGACATTGCTGGGTTAGTGAGTTAGTGACAAGGTACTTAAATGAAGCAACTGTCTTCTCCAGATATTAGGACCAAGTAAGAGTTGTTCTGCATTTAATCAGCACCATGACCTGTCAAATATATTACAGCAGGCAGGAAAAAAAAATGTATGGTATAGGGCAGAGGTAGTCAAACTCCAACCCTCCAGCTGTGGTGCAACAACAGATCCCTTTAGACACTGCAAAAACCCAATGGCAGATGCAAGGCGGGCTTTGTAGTTTCACCACAGCTGGAGGGCCAGTTTGCCTACCCCGGTAGAGGGCATAAGGTCTATTTGGCATTTAAAGAGTCAAGGACCATATGCATCCTTTGACAGTAACAAAAGTCAGGATCCAGCACTAACTTTGTTTTAACATCACTGACTTTTTGACAAGCCCTATAGAGAAAATAATGTTTTATAAATATATGTTACTATTTTTGAGGTTGAACTTAACAATCATTTGTAACTTAACTATATAAAACACATGGCATGCCAAAAATGTTTAATTTGTATTACCTAGAATCTTGTCTTCCATCTTCTCTTCTGTCAGGGAAGTCTGTTGAGCTGCGTGTCCTGGGTCCACCAATCCTTTCTCTAGATTTACCGCTGAACTTGTCCAGTTTTTTCTTTACCAACTGCTTGTTTGCCATCTTGTTCTTTTGCATTTTAACATGCAGCTTTTGCGCCGTTTTGCCAAAAGCGTGTGGTAGGACCTGAAGTGGAATTTTCTTTGTTTTTTTCCCATCCTGAGCAGCTTGGCTCTTCGATATCCTCACTGGGCTGGAGTTTCTTACAATGGGCACGTTCTGCTTTTTGGACTTGACCAGAGGGCCAGCTTTTACAGTTTGCTTAGTCTTAATAGGAATTGTGGGTAACTGAATCGGAGCCGTGGGTGCTACGCTCCTCGCTCTAGTTTTTCCCAAATGTGCTTCTGTTGTTTGCATTTGTATCTCAGCATCTGCTGTCCGTCTTATAATGCTGATTTTGTGTTTCTTGGCAGAGGTGGCCTTTTTCTGTGGTTTAGTAGCGTGTTTTTTGGTAGATGGAGAGGCTGGCTTCTTTGGGCAACTGAAAGAGGCATGTTTGTCCAGACTTTTAATGTATGTAAACTCTCGATTGCAGTATGGACAAACATGAGAAGAACCAGACATGCCAAATCTTAGACTCGATTTTTGCCTGGCCTTCTTATTCTTTTGTAATATTGCTTTGTGAATGAGCTGGTTTTTCCTTTTAAGTGCACCCAGTTTGAGCTTGCCTGAAGACATTTTACTGATTTCCAGGGTAAAATTAAGCTTTTTCGGTTGACCCATTCTTCGGAATGAATTATTTTCGGCAGGTTCAAGAACCACAACCCCTACGCTATTTTTAGGCATCACAGTCTGTTTTAGGGGTATGGGGTTTTTCTTAGGAGTGTATCTTTTTTTATCACTAGCTGATGCACACACCAATATATGTTTGTGTAACTCAGGTAAATTGTCAACACCCTTTCCACATTTAGTACAACGTATAGCTGTAGAGAAAGTCTGTGGAATATTATGAGTTGTAAAGTTTGTTGCAGTTGTACCAATACCCAGGGGATTCTTGTGGTGATACTGAAACGGTGGCGGTTTGAAACTGGGGTAGTGCTGATTAAGACCCATACGTACATCAGGGTCTTTCGATTTTTCCCCTGAAGCCATAATCTTAATTGTTGTATACAGCTCTTCAGAAGAGTCATTTAAATCTCCATCCTCCTCAGGAGTCATGGGTTCCTCATCCATTCTTTGATTTTGGAGTAAAATTGCCTTTGTTGGGTCAGTAAAGTTCTGTGGCCGAAGAGACCCGCTTTCAAGTTCATGATGACTATACTCTTTATCAGCATGCAAGTCCTGTTGATGTTGTTGCAAATTACAAAGAAAAGCAAACTCCTTTTTGCATAAAGAACAAACAAAAATCTTCCCTACTCCATGAAGCACTGAGCGATGTTCTGTAAGATATGAAGCATCTTTAAAAAGCTGCACACAAAATTCACATTTGTAGGGCCATTCTTCAGCGTGCACCACAAGGTGTTTGGCAAGGTCTTTAATAGACACAAATGGGGATTCACAAACATTGCACACAAAAGTCTTATTAAAACCTTCGGAAACTGAGTCACGATGACTTGACTGTGAAGAGTCTTTAGAGGCAGTTTCATCTTCTTGTTTTTCTTGTTTAACAAATGTGGTTGCTGAGGATTCCGAGTTTAAAGAGGGAGATACAATTGATGAAACCACAGATAAGGGAGGAGGAGATGAACAAGATGATGAAGAGGATGAGGCAGCACAGGAAGAAGAGGATGATGAAGAGGACGAGGAGGAGGACAGAGTAGGAGGACCAGGTGAAGCACAACCAGAAGGATCATCAGTAGTAGGGGAAAGAGAAGGGGTTGGTGACGCCGTACGCGAAAGAACCGGAAGTGGAGACTGTGTGCTAACAGAGAGAGGGGATGGGCATGATGGAGTGGGTGGTACACTACAGGAAGATTCTGGGAGTGAAGGAACATTAGTAGTAAGAAGAGGTGGTGGAGATGTAATGTCCATCACAAATGTTGTACACAGGGAAGGTGAAGGTGCTTCCGAAGGAGTCAGAACAGGTGGGGACTGGCAAACTGGAGTACAGGTGCTCTCAACTGGAGTGGGGGAAGCGTCTTCCGGAGAAAAAGCAATATCACCACTTGACCCAGCAACCAGTTCTGGTAGAAGTTCTCCTCCATCTGTTCTACAGGAAAGTAAATCTGCATCTGGTTGCGAAGCAGTTTCACCAGGTACCTCCAAGTCATCATACTCATTCAACAGAACCTTCTTTAACATACATGTAGTAGGCTTCTTCTTTTTGACTCCAATGCATAAGTTATTCCCTTTGTAATCCTTTCCTTCAGCATCACAGACAGGCTTCCTATTAATGCTAAGGTCAAGCACAGATTCCCAAGGAACCTGAGAGCGACTCTTGCTTTCACATTTCTGTTTTACTCCACTGGACAAGTCTAAGGGTTGCTGGTTGCAAACATTACCAAAGGATATATTTGGAGTCCACTCTTTAGTAACTTTTAGATCTTCACAACAAGGACTTAAGTTCTCCCTTTCCTCTCTGCCAGATAAACTGCAGGCAGGTGAACTGTTGTGACTTTCCACCTTTGGTATTTTTGTACCAAGTCCTTCATTCCAAGAAGTTTTTCCTTCTCCTTGTTTAACAAATTCCTTTGGAGCTGGGCTGTGCTGTGGGGAACTTGGAGGAGAAGCAGTGCGTCTTTTAAATCTGTTGGGTGCTGTTGGTATGGAAGACACAGCCGGGCTCAGCTTAGGGATCTCCGATAACAATGATGGACTAACAGGAGACTTGTTGCTTTCCTGCGTCTGCAGCAGTTGCTTAAGCTTTGAAGACAGATAGAAATGTTTCTCCTTTTGGAAAGGCAAGTTATCGCTTACAGAAACAGTTAATGGAATTGACAACGAACAGGAGGGAGTTACTGCTTCAAGGTCAACTTCAGTCTTTATTTTTGTCAGCAAAGGAGGGCTGACGGTTCTTCTTCTTTTTGGTTCTGAAATCCCACTGCAGGAAGAGTCGCTTACTGGATTTGCATTATCAGTTGCAGTCTGCAGTGGTCTTATGTTTTGTGAAACTTCAACCTTGATTGGAGTAAGCAAGCAATTGATTCCTAAGACGTCAGTTGTACTTGCCTCCACTTCTAGGGCATCACAACTAGTATTTGTGCTACATGATGGTATCTTGCCATCTATGAAGTAGGTAAGGTTTTCAGAAATGTTGTTGGTGATGTCCATGATGTAGACGTCATCTGCTTCCCCTTCATCCTCCATTTCTGTACTTGCTACGTAAATGTTTTCGACTTGTGGGGACTGCTCTGATTTAAGGTGTGGATCTTCCAGAAGATGCCCTTTTCGCCTCACTCCCTTCGGAATAAGATGCCGTTCATGAACTCTGCGCTGGTGTCTCCTCACGTTTGTGTGAGTTCCAAACACTTTCTTACAGTACTTGCATGGGTGAAGCTCTCGGCTTGATTCTCCATTTTCTTCAGAGAGAACAGAATGTGATGTCTCTCGGTCAGAATCTGTCATTTTGCACTGCAGTCTAGAGCTGCTGTATTCATCACTGGATTTAAGAGAATCAATGATATGTTTGTGAGACTGTCCAAGTTCACTGGAACATGACACCATTAATGTTTTCCTTTTAGGGCCAGCTTCGTGGCGCCTCTCATGCCTTCTGCGGTTAATCTGGGTTCCAAATGCCTTTCCACAGTATCGGCATTTAAATGCATGGTTGATTGTGGAAATGTGGATGTGCATGTGTCTCTCTAGCCCTTGTTTCGTGGTGAATTTCCTTTCGCAATGCTGGCATGGAAACATAGAACCCTCAGGAAGCTCCCCGTTAACATCTAATTTGGGTTTAGAAATTTTAAGGGACTTCTTCTTTGGTGAACCTTCGGGAGTCTCATCAGATGTGCTTCGAAGGTCATCAAGCATCTCTGGACTCTCTTCTTCCTGATTAATAGAATCTCTCTCCGAACTCTCCCTTTGCAAGTCATCAGCGAGCTCCAAATCAGTGGTAGCATCTTCGACACCCCTGTTGTCTGGCAATTTATGCAGTTCAGAAGCTGTGATGGATATTGTCTCTGGCAGGACATTTTGATTCACCATTTCTTGAATCACAGCCGTTTGTTCTAGAGACAGGACAGGGGAGCCTAGAGGCTTGGTATCATCTTCATTAGGAGCTGCAAACAAACAGGAAACATATTTAGTGTCAATGTTATCACCATGAACAGACAAAATCAAACACTAGTTTTGAGTAAATACCTCCATTTTTGCTTTTCATTGCAAGGATTTTAGCAACATTTCCTGAAGATCCCTAACTGCTTTTGTTCTACATACAAGGAGATTGGTCCATGGCAGTGTAATATGTATCAAATAGAAGGTTCTGAACCCCCAATTCAGTTCCAGGGTTGTTGGAAATGCTGCAGCCCTGGTAACCCTTTACATGATATCACATTAGGGTTGCAGAATAGCTTTGTAATGCCATGGATAACTCTTTCATAGCCAAAGGTCATTGACGCATGGATGCCAAAATTTAGTAGCGGCAGTGTGCGTTAGATACCGTTACAATATATATGCACATATAAACACTAATAGCTAACTATAGAGTAACAAATTGACAACATTTAATTTTTTCTCTTTGCACAGTAATGCTCAATACAGATCACATGATCAGAACCCACATTGATTGCTTACCGATTGTTAGAGACCTGGGACTGTCAGTGACAGCTTTGAAAGAAAACCTAAAATAACCATTGTGCTGGTGAATACTGCTCTACATACTGATGTTGTGAACTGGTTTTTGCTGAACTCCAGGCAAACAGCCGACGATACTTCTGAAATACATATCTGTTAATTTTACAGTTCAAATATTTTTTTGTTCTGTTCAGCCAATCTGGTGACCTGGGCACTGCTGCAAGACAACACAGGTCTGAGATCTCGTTTTTCCCACTGCAGTTAAAGCTGAAGTTTGTTCTGCTTTAATTTTGCCTTCCCTGGTTTATTCTGATATCAATCTGCTGATGCATGCAGTGGGCTGGCTCTTGGGAAGAGTAAAGCTGGCCATACACCTACAGATTTTCTATGATCAGATGGAAAAAGTGCCATCATCTATGCTAAACTGTGTGGAGGGAGGAATCTCCCACTGGGCCAAGCTTCAGTACCTTGCTAGTCGGCCCCACTGGCTCTCAAAATACCTGAACAATGCCGGCATCCAATCAGATTGTTCAGGTATTTTGAGAGCCAGCGGGGCCGACTAGCAAGATACTGAAGCTTGGCCCAGTGGGAGATTCCTCCATTCACGCAGTTTAGCATAGATGGAGGAATCTGTTGCACTTTTTCCATCTGACCATAGAAAATCTGCAGACAATCTATAGGTGTATGGCCAGTTTTATGCAAATATCAAAATGCCTTGATGGGTGGATGTCAGTCTAGAGGAGTAGGCATCCAAAAGCAGGCCGCATGTGCATGCAAACCACCCTAGGTAATGCCCACATGTGATGCGGAGATTGAAAAAAAAATGTAATCCAATGAATGAATGAGATGGGTCGGGGACAGTCAGAATGAGGAGGAAAGGACTAGATTATGCCAGATGCCCTCCTGCCAGGAAATGACACAGGCTCTGACCTGCTGCAGCTCCTAATGTGCACTGTGAGATGCTCAAAGTGTACACTGAAATTGGTGCAGGAATGAAGACTGTATCTGAGCTAGACTGACAGTAGGGCTGGAATTCAGCTAAAACTACAACTTATATACAACACAAGCAAACAAAAAAAATGGTATAAACCATCAGTTTCAAAGAAGATTAAATACATTTTACCAAAAGCCATTAAAATTTCCCTTTATACAATTAATTTCACAACAGCAATATACACTACTGCCAAGTAACTGCAGGTCGCAGCTCGCTCTGCCATTTGCTAACCAGCAACGCTTGCCAAGACTTGTAGTTGTTTAAAAGCTGACATTTGCCAGTTATGAACTAAATGGATAATTCTCATACTATTGTAACCAGAGATTTGGGGGAATTTGGTACAATGATGATGTCAATTCATAAAACCTAAAGTGCTAAATGCAGGTTAAAGGATAACGAAAATGTTGTAGTATATTGCAGCTTACCAGTCTTCAGATGTGGTGGCTGCATTCGTTTTCATGTTTCAGCCTAATAACTATTTTTATCAAGTACAGAAAATTCCTGCTGATTGTGCCAGAAATGCAATGTGTCCTTGCCAATTCCTCTGAGCTGCACTGAAAGCATAACATCTTATTTTCCCTCTGTAAGCTACTAATCTCCCCATATTTGTAGTCCAAGGTGGGTGGAAACCATGGATCTCTCCATAGACACAGTAGAGGAGTGAGTGTAGCCACCCAGGGACAGAAAGTGTGTTATTTGCAGGATTCCAAGGTAAAAAAACAAAAAAGGTAAAAAAAAAGCCTAAAAAAAATAAAAACGAATGCAACCAGCACTTCTATGGGACTGTTAAGCTGCAATATAATATACAGGTATTTTTGGGTTTAGATGCACTTTAAAGGAGAACCATGAGTTGAGTGAAAATCACTCATCCTCATAGTTTGAGCCGACGTGTGATAATGAAACTGTCACACGTCGGCTCAATAGATTGGGAAGTGAGCGAACACATACCGTCGCTCGCTCACTTCTCGATCATCTCCCTGCAGAGAGCCGTGACTGTCAGTCACGGCTCCCTGCAGGAATCCCCCCCCCCTCCCCGCTCTGATCCTCAATCGATGACTGGAGGAACGAACAGGGGAGGGGGCGTGTACAGCTGGCTCTGCCTCTAGATAGGCAGAGCCAGCTGTCACTCACGCAGCTGGGTGGATCTCAACAGTAATGTTGGGATCCGTCCCGGATGCGGCGCTCTCAGTATACCGCGAGCTGTAGCTCGGGATATACTGAGCTTTGGGTCATGACAGAACGCAAGTATATGTCCTCCCGTGACCCTTAAGAGAACTATGGGGGAAAAACACATACCCCATAGTTCTCTTTTAAAGGCCTATTCACACGAGACGCATTGGCCTGCGTTGGGCAGCCTTGGCCAGTGCAGTTCCAACGCACAGACAAGGCATGTTATTAAGTCGGTTCACAACAAAGCACTATGCAGTGGGTAAAAAGGGGTAAACATTGTATTGCACCGCTTCCTAACAGTGAACACCTACAGCTATGTGGTAGTGTGTTGCTGTTGTAAACAGACCCTAATGGGAAACTATAATGGTTTTTGCTCAATTTGATTTACTTTTTAAGAGTTAGAGGTTTGTCATGTTTTAATTTAATTTTATTTAAATGTTTTAAGCAATTTCTTTTTTAATTGAACTCATGTGCAAATCTCAGACCGAGCTACCACATTCTGCAAACACAGATCTCTGATGCAGATTTCCCCACATCGTGCTGGTCTGGCCTGTTCTTGGAGCTAGAGGCCCTTGCAGTATATGAGACATGTGCCAGCCCCACCCATTGAAAATAACAGCCTTACCCGTCTCCTTGTGCCAAACATACATAAAACAATACAAAAGCACAGATTTCCTCCAGTAAAAAAGTACATGCCAAAAAGATCCAAGCAGCTGCAATTACATGCCAATCTTGACCTATCTGCAAAAGTCAAACTTGCCCCCTCCCCTTGCCACCTCCCAAGCCTGCCCATTGCCTTTTTAACACAATGAATGGCCTGACTGATGGACAGAGAGGTTCAGAGGTAAGGAGCCATGGCTTTTATAGGAAAAGTTGAGATTGCCATGCGATTGCAGCTGTTTATAATATCTGTGCCCACTGACTAATAAAGCTAACCTCTGCTGATGCATTTTTTTTATTGTATTCTTGGTTTGCATGGCTGCGGTTTACACTTCGCAAGCACAAGGTCAGTCTGCTGCATTCTCTCATCGCTAGTAACACTGGATCTAAAATCTTACCATCTGAGGAATCCTTCATCTCGAATGAACCAACCTCGGGGCTGCTCTTCTTGTCTTCTTTATTTTGATTTAATTTCTTTTTACCATGAAAGGATCTCCTCCTGCCTGCAAGCCAAGCAAACACAAATGTAAGAAATTATAACCGCAGATAAAAAACAGCTGCTGATCACAATCGTGAGGCTCAAAAATGACTATAAGAAACAGGCATGCAAACGTGCAAAATATACCCAAAAAAGGCTTAGGAGTTCATTTAAAAACAATTCCCCGGGACGTTCACTTTGAGAATATCGGTGAACGTTCATCCTGTGTGAATATATGCTTAAACGTTCTTTAGCTTTTTCCTTTACAAGTGTAACTAAATTTAACAGGGTTATTCACAAAAGGGTGAAGAGTTTGGAGAGGGCAGGAGAAGTGAACAATCTAGGCCAAAATAGCGGATTTGTAAAAATTCCCCAATTCAGCTCACTCTCCAGTTCAGCTATGGTGTCCTAGATTGTTCACTTCTCCCCCCTTCTCCAAACTCTTCACCCTTTACTGAATAGCCCTGTGAATGTTCTGATTGTAATATTACAATATGGCCACTAGATGGAGTTGAGCATAGAAAATAAACACCTATTTCCTATGCTTCTTTATTATTAGTAGTAGCCAACAATTTACGCAGCGCTTTACATTGCATTGTGCACATTCACATCACATTCATTCATATTCACAACAGTCCCTGCCCTCAAGGAGCTTAGAATCTAAGGTCCCTATCTCACATGCATACAGTACATACAGGGCCAATCTAGATGGGAGCCAATAACCTTCCAGCATGTCTTTGGAATGTGGGAGAAAAACGGAGTACCCGGAGAAAACTCACAAGCAAAGAGCTGAGGAAGTTATCAACTTACAAGATTTCTGGCAGGATCAATGGGTATCACTCTTAGGGGTTGATTTATAAGCAGGAGACAGAGCCACTCGCCCTGCAAATATCTGTTAACATTTGTCTTGTTTGAATGTATGCACACACAAGCATTTGAAGTACAGGGAGAACATGCAAACTCCTTGCAGATAGTGTCCTGACCGGGATTTGAACCGCGACCCCCAGTGCTAACCGCTAAGCCACTGTGCTGGCCATCTATCGCCATCCAGTGGACATAATGTGATATTGCAATCAGAACATTCAAATTGAATTACAGTTGTAAAGGAAAAAACTAAAATACATTTATATTCACATATATTCGAACAGAAAGAATGTTCACAGATATTTGCAGGGCGAACGGCCCTTTCATCTACTTATAAATCAACCCTTAAGAGTGTATGTAAACCCTAACAATTGACTTCTCTCATTTGAACCCTTTTGGTCTGTTAAACATACAATTGAAAGCATTTTGTTTTATAGGTTTGCTTTGTTAAAAAAAAATACCCGTTGATCCTGCCAGAAATCCTGTGAGCTGATAACTCAGCACACACAAAGAGCAGAGGAAGTTATCAACTGCACTGCTCTCAGCTATTTCTGAGGATTACAGAACCACGACCCTCTATGTTAGGGACAACAGCAGAACAGCAGGGTTCCATAGTCCTATCTTGTTTCTGTGGTCCTGATTCAGAAGGAGGACAGAAGTGTTGCAATCCTAGGACTGGAAGTGTGCTACTGGCAGGATCACCAGGTGAAAATAAAGGAAACAAAGCTTGAAAATAGAAAACTAAAGCAACCATCACATCTAAGGACTGGTAAGTTGCAATATATTACATTTTTGTTTCTGGGTTTAGATACCCTTTAGGCAATTTTCCCACGCACACCCTGTTCCTTGCATCTAAATCCACGTGAGAAGAATCAGAAATAACAGAGTACACTTCTAAATCTGAACCGGTTGGAAATAAGACAGCAGTTTGCATCTGGCATCGCAATTAACATCTGCAAAGTAATAGTACAAGTTTTCCTAAAGCACTGGGCAAAGCTGCATTTTATAGCTTTGGGAACCAGAGAAAGTCTTCACTATATTATACTGAAGTAATGACCCAATTCTGCTCTTGGCAGGACCTGGGAGATCGGACCTGGACTGAAGAGATATATATGGACTATTGCAGGTTGACTCTGTGCTTGCTTTTTCAACGAAGAAGGTTTTAGCTTATTTATTGGACTCATACTGCAAAGAGAACAAGTCGTGACTGGGCTTAAAGTGGACCTTTAGGCCTCATTCACACTGGAATCGGCCGGCACGTACAGCTCCATGCTGCGTGCACGGCAGTATGGGCAGCTCCCGGGAAGGACAGGGGCTGCGTGTGATTAGTACGCAGCCCCTGTCCTTCTCTATGGGAGTACGCGGCCGTACACCGTCCTACGCTCATCCGCCCTGCACGTCCGTACGGGTGAGCATACTCGTACGCTGACCAGATGGATCCTGTCTGAGCAGGGACACGCGCACCCGTACGGACCTGCACTTGAGGTGAGCATAGGGCGGCGTGCGGCCGCGCACTCCCATAGAGAAGGACAAGGGCTGTGTACTAATCACACGCACCTGTCCTTCCCAGGAGCTGCCCGATGCGGCCGTGCACGCAGCACAGATCTGTACATTTCCCGTGTGAATGAGGCCTTAACCCCCTTTCACTAAAAATCACATCAGCATGAAACTCTGCATGCTGATATGAAATCATCTTACTTTCATTACTTTTTTTCTACTTCCTGGTCCTCTTGGGCAAAAGCGATGTAAGCTGTGACCAGGGAAGGTTAAATCAGCAGAGCATTGCTGGGAAATCTCGCGAGATCTCAGGGAAAGGCATTTTCCTCTCCGAGATGATGTGCATGGTCACATGTCCTAGTCACATGTGCCAGAATTGCAGGAAGTAAAGGAGATCTAGTAACCTGTCCTTAAAAAGGAGAACTATGAGGTGAGTGAAAACCACTCATCCTCATAGTTCGAGCCGACGTGTGACAATGAAACTGTCACAGGTCGGCTCAATAGATCGGGAATAGCTCGCTCACCTCTCAAACATCTCCCTGCAGTGAGCTGTAACTGTCAGTCACCGCTCCCCGCTCCGATCCTCCAGCGCTGACTGGAGGAACGGATGGGGAGGGGGCGGGTACAGCTGGCTCTGCCTTTAGACAGGCAGAGCCAGCTGTCACTTACGCAGCTGGGTGGATCTCAACAGCATTGTCGGGATCCGTCCCAGCTGCGGCGGTCTCAGTATACCGCGAGCTGTAGCCCGCTATATACTGAGCTTTGGGTCACGGGAGGATGCTAGTACATGTCCTCCCGTGAACCTAAAGAGAACTATGGGGAAAAACACTTACCCCATAATTCTCTTTTAATACAAAATGGCCACTGTAAGAAGACTGGGGAGGAAAAGAGAAATAAGGTATGTAAGCAATTAAAAGCCGGCAATTATCTAGAAGTATGTGTCTGTAGTTTGCCATTACCAAACATTTCTAAAGGTGCATTTGTTATCATTACAAAGATAAGGGTAAAGTTCTTCTTTAATCTAGGATCTGAATACGTGGCTAGAATCTGAATGCTCAGCCTTTAAAGTATATGCAATCCTAACAAGGAACTTCTTGTATTTTCTCTCTTTCAATCTGTAAAGTGTTGTATGTGATCGATAAGTATAAAAGAAAATACCCGTTGATCTACTAAGAAAGCAAGGACAGTCGTGTGGACTCTAATGCGTTAGCTTAAACACTGTTATTATCCCTACCCAGTTCTCTCTGTGAATTACAGAACACTATCGAGATGATGAGATCGGAAGGTGCTCTGTAGTCCTCAAATTTCATTTCATAGGGGGACAACGCTGCTCATCCGAATATAGTAGAACGAATGAGTGTTGTCACTCTAGGACAGGAATAATAGTAAAGGAAAAAAAAGAAACTTATGCAGCCACTGCATTTATGGACTTGTAAACTTGAAATGTATTACATTTTTGTTCTTGGGTTTGATACACTTTTAAACAAGGTAACAGGCAAATGGCTAAACGCAAATATTAAACACATATATGGAAGCTGTTTTACCTCCAAATAATGCATATCTATATCCATCCAGCTCGGATATTTTACACAACCCAGCCACACATTACAGCCATGTGGATGACAACGCGTTCTCTCTCATTAATAAATCTTTAAATCTTTAAATGTATTTTTTCCTTGCAAAGTTTTTTTATTAAGTTTATACAATGAAATATGTGAATTACACAGAAATTAACAACATACAGTGTACAAAAAGAGAAATTTACAACGTGAGTCACTACACAATTCCCACTAACTCAGCACAACATGGGTTAGAGAGGGTAGAAAAGTAAAAGGGATTGAAGAGTAAAGCAGAGAAAGAGGTATTGTAGATAGAGGGTGAGAACTAGAATCTGGTAGCTAAATCTATTTTTTTTTTTAAAATGCCTGTAAGACCATAGCTTGCACACTTCTACGCATGCGCGGGTCCCAGTCTTCCCGGTTGCAGAAAAACGCGTTAGCACGCATGCGCGCACAACGGAATGTGGCACACAGGAAGTGACACAATGGCACACAGGAAATGACTCACGGCCCTCTAATAGATGTTCCTATTTAAAGGAGAACTATGGGGTCAGTGTTTTTCCCCATAGTTCTCCTTGGGGTAACGGGAGGACACAAACTAGCGTCCTCCCGTTACCCTAAGCTCAGTATACCGCGAGCTAGAGCTCGCGGTATACTGAGACGCCGCACCTGGAGCGGATCCCGACTTAGATGACGGGATCCGCCCACCTGCATGAGTGACAGCTGGCTCTGCCTATCTAGAGGCAGAGCCTGCTCATCCTTCCAGGGATCCAGTTGCCGGACTTCTAACAGGCACCGTGTCTGAACACCTTGGCACCCGTGCTCCTCTCTGTCTACTCGCTCCCTGTTTCCACATCCAGGGGTGTGAGACAAAAGCTGCAAGGGAGGCCTCCGCACCGAATCGGTCCTCCACTAGGTATGTGATAATGCCACTAGCGTAATGTTGGCCATAGACACTCAAATTCCGGCTGCTTCCCGCTGCCCTGCAAGCACCACTCGGAAAAACAACAAAAGTCATGCGGAAAATTGTCCAAACTGTTGCTGCATCTTATAAGATGCAGTCACTACTCCGCAGTGCCCCTGTATTCAGGTATCCACAGGTTCC